AAACCTCTAATCCTCCTCCTCTCTTTCTGCTGATCATTCAAAACAACCACAAAGGCTTCTTTCTTGGACAGTTTGTCCTCAGCAAAGTGAACGGAGAAGCGAAATATGATGCTTTTCTTTAAAGCAAAAAATCTGATTTCTCATGTGAACCCATTGACCAAATTCCTAGAGATGGCCCCTGATTGTTATCATTCCTTTGGGTTAAAGGTCCGTTGCTGGCTCATTAGACATCAGACAGTGCCATCAGTCATATTTCTGCCAAGGACAGAACAGGAAATGGCCTTAGAAAGAGGAGGGGTGAGGCAGAAGGAGAACTCCTTGACCTTGAACAAGCCATGAGACACTGCCAGGGTTCCTGGAGGAGAGGCAGAATCACCTTTACCAGGAATATGAGAAGAAATGATTCTACCCATGTGCCAAGGAATGAGCCTCTTGACATCAGGACCCTTAAGAAAGATGCTTTGGCTAAGTGGGCCCCTGCAGACCCCATCACATCCCCAGCCTCAGACTACCGGTGCTCAAAGTTGCAGAGAAAGTTCAAGAACCTACACTGAATCTCAATTTTCTAGTGATGTAAGGAACATAATCAGATCATCCTGGCTGGTTGCCCTAAGCAGATTAATTTATGTAATGCTATCCTTTTGTTTTGAGAAAGTTCCTTAAATAGCAATGAAGACAACTTCTGGCTTCCAGTGAGGCGGCTAGGCCAACATCACAGCCATGGCCATTGCCCTTGGGAGGAGCTCAGGAGGGCAGTCCCTGGAAGCCATGTTGTCACCACGAGGGGGCCCAAGGAGGTCTCTCCAGAGGCAGAGAAGCCCTATACTCAGAACTGCAGGTTCTTAAACATGTCACAGAAATAAATTTAAGGACATGTCCTATTTTAGCAAAGAGAGAATGCTTCATTAGACAGCAAGAGGTAACGATAAGTGTTCTTGGAGCACAATGCCGGCTATCTCAAGAGCAGGACACGCAGCCAGGCTTGAAGTCTGAGTGTTTATTAGGGTACATAATTAGCTGGAATATGACTGATCCACAGGGGCTGGGCTTTCCTGGGGATTGGGAAATATTAAGCAAGATGGCATTTCCCCATTAGGGGGTCTGGTCTGGCATGTAGGTGGCAGGTCCCAACGTCTCTGGCCATCCGGTAGTGGTCTCTTGGTTGTGGATCTGGTGACTGAGCCAGAGGATCATGGTCCAATCGACTGTTAGCCCCTAGCTTCACTAGGTTAATAGTCTCTTTCTATCCCTTTGGGATCCTTTGTCCAGTTCATGAATTGTACACAAGCCTCCATTCCATGTTCCAACTGGGGCATTTCTCCTTTACAAACTCAGTGTTCTCTCCATATTCCTAAATACCTCTCAGTGTGAGGAGGACACAGGTTCTTGTTTCACTGTGGAAGGGTCCACTGGGGGAGAGTCTCTGGAAACATCTGCTGTGATTCATTCTCAGCCTCTAGTGTCTCAGCTGAAGCAAACAAGAGGCAGGAATCAAAGCCACTGCCAGGAGATGGCATCTAAAGAAGCCCCATCCTTCCCACACGCCAGTTATCTTGAGGTCAGAGAAGACCACATTGGCAGACATTGACACCCCGCTGCCACTGGACAGAGCCAGGGAATACCCCCCGGTCAGCTCCAGGCAAATCCAGCAGGTGCATCATCCCTGGACCTAGATGGGGGTGGGGGAGGGAGGCTCTGAGTCTCCCTCCCTATAGCTGCTGCCCCAGAATGCCCACCATTATCCACAGCATGGCGCCAGCCCCAAATCCCACCCACCCAGCAGGCACCTTCACTGTACATGTGGGCATTCCCCAGTGACAAATACCAGGGGCCACCTCTCTTCCAAGCAGTAGAATATAGGTTCCTATGGACACCTGTCTCCATCATGCAGTAAAAAAACAGACAGAGGACAGATGGGTTTCTGTTAAATGATCATAATTAGGACAAATATCACAGGTATTTGTCCTCTGCCAGTCGTGCCTAATTTTTAAGCCACTGTGCTTGGCAGTGGAAAGATTTATGAGCTGATATCATGGCCATGCTGCCCTCCTGAGCTCATCCCTTGGAGGAGCTCAGGAGGGCAGCCCCCAAGAGCTGGAAGTCACGTTGTCACCAGGAAGGGACCTGGAGAGGTCTCTCCAGAGGCACAGCTTTCAGGGTCTTGAACATGTCAAAGCAAAGAATTTAAGGTCATGCCAGGTTTTAGCAAAGAGAGAAACAGCATTATTAGACAACAAAAGGTAAAGGTTCCCTAGCATGGGAAACTTGACCTTTTAGGTTTCAAGAAGCAATACCCAGAGAGGCTTTCTTTTTCATGAAAGATTCAGACTGCTAGCATCCTCACCAAGAGCATGATCTCTAATAAGACTAAAGATGGAAGTCACAAGATAGCGCATATTTATGGATTAGAAAATGACACTGGAAGCCCAGGAGAATTGATCTTTGGGAAAAATAAAATAGACATTTTAGTTAATAAACATTGCTCCCTCCTTTGCCTCAGAAGCCGCCTCTATCCCCAAGGACTTCCTTCTCTCCACAACTTCACCCTTTATTTTCTCTTATTCAGCCAGACTCAATGATGGAGGTAATTGGTTTGTCTCTCTAATAGTTACCCAGATGTGACCTCCTGGGGCTGCTTCTGGGGCTTCTGGGGCTGCTTCTTACTTACCCTGTTACAAAGAAGCGACTCTCCATTTTATGCTCCTGTTATGTGCCCACCACTGGGCAAAGTGTGTGCTGAGCAGGGTCTCCCTTGCAGAGCCCAGAGCCTTGCAGAGAAGACAGAGCATTAAAGGGAGCAGGACAGTACCATCCCAGGGCTGGATTGGGAGTCTCAGGGACAATGGAGCACAAAGTGACCAGCTCTGGTCATACCCTAGCAGGACCCATCTCTGCCCAAACCTTCCCATCACTTATTCAGTGAGGCTCCCAGGCCCAGAAAGTCTGGAACTGCTCCAAATTGAAGTTACATGGTGACCATGCCTGTGGGGTGAGAAGACGCACACCTTGCCTAGTACTTGCCCTCAAAGCGTTTTGCGTCATCTTATTTAAGGATCCATAATTCACACTATCAGAAATCTTAATTCCCTTTGTGTTTTACCTCTTAAACTGCCCTTAGTAGAACGACTTGGGAATTTCAATATGCCAAGCAGAGCCTGAAAGGAGGGGTGAATATCACCAAGATATGGGGACCAAAACACAAAAATACAAACAATGCAGAGACTGAGGATTGCAGAGAGGATCAGGAGAGCCAGGCAGAGAATTCATAGCACTTACTGAACATCTGATTCCACAATGGAGAAGAACCTTATGCAAACAACTGCAAATGTGGCTTTTTTGTCTAAGAAACCAAAGACGTCTGCATGCCTTCTAAGCAGTACTCCTGTTTCCACTAGTATCTCTATCCAGCCCATTCTCCTCCACCCAGCTGTGTGCCACCATCTTGCTATAAAGCCTTGAGGATTTGAAGTGCAGGTTTCTTGTATTTGCCTGTGATTCGGGATCCATATGGTTCAAGAGTCATGACTGGCTCCTCTTGCTTCTCTGGAGTCCCCTCTTGCTCTGGCTCATGCCCCCAACCCCTGATCAGTGCTTCTAGGCCTAAGCACCCTTCAAGTACCGTACACACCGCTTTTCATGGACTCTAACCAGACCAAACTGTTGCTGCCTCAACAGGCCCCTCATTTACCTGCCAACCCCCAGCCTCAGCTGCGTTGGCTTCTCTCTCCGGTACGCACCTTCTCTACTCATGCTATGCTTTAGAAACACAGCTGCCCACCTTTGAAGGCTCACCTGCAAGGCCACCTCTGCTGGGTGGGTTTGGTCTCCCTCTCAGTGCCCCCATGGTATCTGCCATCACATTTCTGTAGTCTCAACTATGTCTCTTTGTCTTTGACCCTTCCAATGAAGTAACATTTCATGTGGTCAAAAATAGAATGTTTCTCATTGTATTTTCTCCTCCTTTACCTGTAGCAGAGCTAAATTTCCTCCATGAGAAAACCAGGTTCCTGTGAAGGCCGTGATCTCAATCTACTGAATATTCACTAGAAGGAAATAGCCCTTCTAGAAAACTGCAGTCAGAACACTTTTGTTACTTCAGGGATTCATAAATCAGATGGTTCTATACTAAATAAAGCCAGACCTTCTGTCCTCCAACCCATTATTTAATTGGAATCTGCATCATGAGGTTGGCTGTAGGCTTGGACACAGACCAGAAGGGGAATTTCAGGGAAGCAGAGCAGGTGGAAATGGGCCCTGGAAGAGAGGTGCCCAGTTCTGTGCAGCAAAAGCAAGTTCCTATAAGCTGCAGTGGAGGCAGGGGGAGGGGTATACGCCATAGGAGGGAGGGGTGAGGTATTCGCCCAACTGAACATCCTCAGGATTCATCAGCAGTTAGCAGTTCTCCTAACTTGTACCTAGGTTCTTGAAGAAAAAATATAGGGAGGAATTATTTATTTCCTAACAGCTAGTAAATAAATGTAATCTATCTCCTGGTAGCACCTCACTCATGGCAGAGTGACTGTCCTGAACCATGAGCCACCCCTCCCATTGTGTCCTGGAATCCAGTCCCATGTCAGTGTGCACATCCCATCCTGATCACTTCCAGATGCTGTCTACAGGGCAGCACGTGATGATGCTTTGGTCAGAGAGAAGCATGAGCCCTGCACACACTCTTTCTGCATTTCGTCGTAATTCTTATCTCCATTCCCATGTACCGCCTGGCCCTTATTCTTTTTGCTAGTTTGTTGGGCACTTCACATGAGTCCTTTAAGGGGTATTATTTCCTATTTTGAAGAGGACTAGCTGCATCTATTGCCTAAGGCTCCTCCGAGCTCTGCTGCCTTAGTCTTTGCTTCCAAATCTGGAGAACAAAAGTTCTGGTAATTCTGTATTGCAGAGACATCGCTGGAAGTTTCCAATGATTAGACATTGTGTTTCATGCTGCATTTCACAGCGCATCCCTGTCTTGACTAACAAGGTGTGCTCTCTGACCCCCACAGGCACACAGGGTGTACAAGAAGTTCCCCAAACCCAGCAGAGCACACTGCTCCTCCGAGAAGAAAGCTCACTCCACTCCTTCACCGAGCGCCACTGTACCAAGCCATACATCAAGTGGCAGCCAACCGTCCCTGCACAATGACCGTTTCCTGGGGCCTGGCCAGACAGGCCTGCCTAGTGGGCACCAGCAAGAATTTGCCAGGCAAACCAGCAGCACCCCCAGCGCCCCCTGGTCTTTCCAGAGAAGCAAATCCTTGTTTTGTTTGCCCACCGGAGGCCCCTCCCCAGCTTCCTCAGCTGAACCACAGTGGTTTTCAAACACAGATCCGCCAGAACACAGGGTATCGAACTGTAGGCATAGCCACCTCCTCTCCATCGATGACTTAGAGGGTGCCCAGGAGACAGATGTGGACACAGGCCTGCGACTCTCTTCCTCTGACCTGTCTGTGGTCTCTGCGTATTCTGCACCCAGTAGATTCTGCAGCACTGCAGAAACCTCCCTCCCCTCTGAAAAATGCAGCAGCCGTTGGTCAACATGGAAGGGGCCCCGAGAAGGACCGCTGCCTGCTGTCAGCAGGGTGACCACAGAGGCCTCCTGGGCTTCCCTCCCTTTCTTTACCAAAAGGTCTGCCAGATGCTCAGTGAAAACTGTCTCTGCTCCCTCGGCTTCTAGTGCCTCCTCACTCACAGAGCCATCCCCAAAGGCCTCTTGTGATGCTCCCAAAGCCACACAGACTGGCCAAGATGCGTTACCACCCCCAGAGTTGGCTGGTCCTAGGGATAACGACATGGAGGAGTTCTACATCTGAACGTTTCTTGTTTTCCAAATACAAATGCCGACACCAAGACTCAGGTCCCCCCCCCCACCCCTCTGCTCTCTGTATACACCAGTGTTTCAGGCCTGCACCCCAGGTCAGCCTGGGGCTTCATTATCCATCTCAGGGGGATCATTAGCACATTTGCCGTGCCACTTGTTTATAGCCGAGAGGTGGTACATTTCTAGGGACTCAGTGAGAAAATAGAGACATTTTTATGCAAATAAATTCTCAACCAACTTCAGTCATAAAATATATTTTTTGATTACTCAGTTTGATACGTGGTTTAGTGCCCTTATACAATTTAAATGCTTCATATAATTATTTGAAATGAAAGGAAAACCTAGTCAGCCAGAGTCGATCTGGCAATTTTTCATGCTGTGAAAGAAAAACAATTAAAGCCAAAATGTTGAATGTGGGAAAGATACTAAGGACTTGCATGAAAGATCATTTCACAGTAAGAGAATGCACACCTTATTGGGTTCTCCAGTTATTTACACTGCCAGGGAACAGTGGCCCTGATTATTTTGGACAAGTCAACTTAATAAGACAGCTATCAACATCTATCAGACTGCAGAACGCCTCACTTTGAAGTCACGCAACAGCTGAAAATCTGGATTTATGCAAAAGTAGCTAATGCGTTTTGTTAGAATTTAGCATGATTAATGGACTCTTGGTGCATTTAAAATGTGATTTGTGTTCCAAAAACCTAGATTCCTGTATACCTTTTCAACAGCACATTCACAGTAATGAATGAGGGGCCACAGAAGACAACACTCTGGGTGGATTTGGATCATTGAGGAGGACTTGTTCCTTAACTTTAAAGAATAAGAGGATATTAGGTATAATGGGCTTACTAGTCTTCTACTTAAAAAGCACAATCTAAGGGCTACATATATGTCTTTATATAAATAACAGGAGCCACACTTTATACTGCTTTCTCCAATAAGCACTTGTGGCCACACATTCTATGTTTTTCATTTTAAACTAGTTTGGAACACTTTAGCTGGCAGTTTGATTGCACGGATGCACAAAATGCCCCTCTCCCTCAAATGGGAAACTATACAAAACGTTGTCCTGAACAAACACTGGTGCACCGCTAGCCTTTGGTAAGTGCAGGAGACCCTTAATTAAAGCTGGCGCTGTCGCCTGACCTTGGCTTTTCCTGTCCGATGTGTGCTCCTGTCACAGTGTGAATGGTATTTAAATCCCCCTGTGAGGGTATGTTTACAGTTCCAAACCTCAGCAATGCCAAGTGCCGGCATCCTGGGCCATGCCAAGCTGTCCCTGGATGCTGTTTATCTTTGGGGAAGAAGAACATGGATCTGCATTGTTCACTTCCCAGCCGGGTGCTCCTTGCCTAAATTACTCATGGCACCGATTTCATCTCCCTGGAAGTACCCAGATACCATTCGGATACAGCCTCAGAATCCTTCCCAATACCGGCTTCCAGGCAGCCATTACCAGCCATCAGACCGAGTCACAGCCTCAGGCCTGCCGTCCTCGTAACAAGAGCCTTAGATCCTGCCTCAGACATCCTGGACTTCCCAGGTCTCCGACTTGTAATATTCTACTCCAGTGTAAATAACAAAAATGTAGTCTCTTTGAATTGTGGACCAAGAATAAGCAAACTTTTCTGATAAAGGGCTAGATCGTAAATATTTTAAACTTTGTCAGATTTTAAACTTCTCAGTCTCTGTTGCACCTGCTGCCATTGTAACATAAAAAATAAAATGTAAATGAACTTGAGTGGCTGAGTTGCAATAAAACTTTATTTACATCCCAGTGGCTCAGGAGGCTAAGGCAAGAGGATCACAAGTTCAAAGCCAGCTGCGGCAACTTAGCAAGGCCCTAAGCAACTCAGGGAGACCCTGTCTCTAAATAAAACACAAAGAAAGGGCTGGGGATGTGGCTCAATGGTTAAGCCCCTCTGGGTTCAATCCCTAGAACCAAACAACAACAACAAAAAAAAACCTTTATTTACAAGGATAGGTGATAGGCCAGATTTGACTCAACGGTGGTAGCTGGCCAACCCCTGAGCTAGCCTCCTACCTACAGTTGATTGAAGATTCTAGCCACAGTCAACAGCAAGAACCTAAGTCTTCACCCACTGCTTCTGGGGGTTGTAACAGCAAGAAAATGGGCTACTCGGGTCAAGCCAATGATTACAGAACCACCGGACGTAGAACAACAGGGGCTTCTTGCTGCACAGCCAGTTTCTAGAAAACTACTCCCAGTCTACCTCCTGCCTGGAAATATGACGTGAAGTCCGTAGCTGATGGTGAAAAGTAGTACGCTAACATCAGGTGGCAGAGAAAAGATAACTTAGAGACAATGACATCACCTCCAGTGAACGGGAGAGAAGCTCCTCAGTAGCAAAAGTTAACGAGGCAAAAATAAGCGGACCAGCTGTCCAGTGATGGCTCCCATCTTCATCTTTAGTGGCTCCCCCATTTTAATACACTGGTTGTCCCACTGGGGTTACTTTAGAGCTCAACCCCATGCTATCTGGTCCCACCCTTTCTCAGTGACCCACCCTCCTCATGGTCCAGTCTACCAAACTGAGTGACCCCCAAAGATGTCCAAGACACCCTTCGCAAATGCCCCCATAACACAAGGAGAGAAGGGAAGGGAAGACAAGCCCACTACAGACTCCACGCACACATGCCTGTGCTGTACTCGGGAAGTGGCAGTCACTCTGAAGAGTGAAAGGCACATGTTTAAAAAAAATGGAAGACTGTGGCTTCCATTTCTGGCTGTACCACCGGCATTTTCCCCATCCAAGAGCACTCCTGACAGCACTGGATCCTTACTCTTGGAGTACTATCCCTGTAATAGAGGCTGGCATACTATAGATGTGCAGTAAATGTGTTCAATTAAAAAACATTGAGGTTGTCTAATAAGTTATTTCTGTCCTAAACGAGGCTCTGTAATGTAGAAAGTCTCCATTTCAGCCCTAGCTTTATGCCGCTTGCTGGAACCCAATCTCTTCTTGGCCTTGTACTTCTCCCCAGCGTACCCAGGAAATCCAGGTTGGTAAGTGCCCTGGTCAAGTTCACATCCCATCCTTCATTTGCCTCTTTTCCAAGTTACTTCTCAGGGTCCCACCTAAGCCTACACTAAGGGCCACCCAGTATCTTCTCTAAAGGTCAAATGTTTTTCATATGTCCCCAACCAACCCGAGGAACCCTACAAAAATCATTTTGGATCACCTTGATTGGTTAAAATGAGCATCAGAGGGGGCTAGTGATGTGGCTCAGTGGCAGAGTGCTTGCCTGGAATGAGTGAGGCCCTAAGTCTGATCCTTGGTACCACAAACACACACACACACACACACACACACACACACACACACATCAGAGGGACCCATGGGAGCAAGGGATGAGCCTTTGAGAAAGTAGAAGTGACATTTGGCAGAGCAAATTGGATCTAGTGTTGGTGCCCCTTGAGCACCTAGGCCCCAAAGTAGGGATGTCCAGTGAAGTTTTGGACTACACTGTCTGACATGTCCCCAGAAAAACCAGGGGACCAGTTGGGAAAACTCTTGAACACGTGTTTGCCTTTAGCCCTAAGAAATCAGGAGAAATGCAGAGATCTTCCTATCCCCCAACTTTCTGTAGATGCACAGATTCTCCAATCTGTCCGAGTAGACTCAGAATTTCTGAAGAGAGTTCTTAAGGAAAAATAAAGCTGACCATGGTGGGTGGGCTGGGGATGTAGCTCAGTGGAAGAGTGCTGGTCTAGCATGCATGAGGCCTGGGTTTGACCCCAGAACCACAAAAAAAGAAAACAATAAATAAAGGTTGTATATCTCGCACAACCTCAGAGCAGAATTGACAACCAGTCTGGCCAGCGGACCCAAGTCTGGATCTCAAGAGAGCAGTGGGAATAGCTGAACACTGGGTGACCTTCTTCTCTGTCCTGGGCCACAATGCTCTATGGGCCTGGTTTGGACAGACACATACACAGTCACCCCCTCCCTGCCTCATTTGTTAGGTTCCACTTCTCTAGCCTCAGGAAATGCAATTGTTCAGATCCTTCAAAGTCTTGAAAAAACAGCATGAGAAGTCCACATGGGAAAAAGGAAGAAAAAAAAAGGATTTTTCAAGGGAAACACATTTTATCACACTTAACTATTACACAATGAATTTGTTAGGGATCAAGAACCTAAGTGTAAAGATGATATGTATTTTTCCAACTTTTACCAAAGGTTTTTGCTAACTTGGGGCATAAAGGTCTAGTTATGAAGTGACTATTTAAATGACAGTTTTTCTGAACGAATAACAGAGACAAATATAAATGGTGGTGTCTGCACACTGCCTCTTCTTAACACTTCATTTCTATTTTAGAGGTGTTGATAATTACGGTCCACTATTACAGTCATATGTCCATTTGAATATTTGACGAAGGTGAAAAGTCTCCTTCCATGCCCCATGAACCTTCCCTGAACTCTCCACTTGGGATGAAGTTCTCCCCTCCAGGTGCCTGGGACGGGGTTGAGAAATGGAGCGGCTTCACAGCCCCTGACGGCCCTGTCCCTGGTGGGAGTGGTTCATTGGAAATATCTGCATCATTGATCTTAGAAGTTGAATGTCTGAAAGAAGCCAAACCAACTGCCTTCAGTCAGCTCTGCCAGTCCCTAGGACTAAACCCAGAGTATTCTGGACTTGGTGACACTCCAAGTGTGAGAAGCACAGTCCAAGAAAAGGTGGCCACACAGAAACACTTTTCAGGCCAAACAGTGTGGCTGAAGACGGCTGTGGGAAGACTTTGGTGCCACCTGGTGGTCACTGTGCCCAGGAGGGTCAGTGCCTGCCCCTTTTCAGTCAAGAAGATTCCCTGGGTTGAAGGGGGCAGGGAGGCATTTCACTTCCATTTATTCCACTGCATTTCATTTTCCACTGTATTTATTTCTACAAAATTTTGAGGCCATTTAAATCACAATGAAATAAGACAACATAAACAGAAAATTCAGGCAAAGAGTCTGAAAATAT